AACAGTTTTGATGCCCGTTTCATCCTTTTGAAATTTGTATTACCTCATGCAGAACTCGGAGTTTTCTCCTTAGTACGTCTGCTGTCCCTTCCTCTTCCTCCTGATATCTTCAAGGCAGGCTTGAGTTCAGTATCTTTCTAATAGCTTTTTATACTTTTTTTTCCCTCAGATGTCTACCCATGTGATCAAACAGGGTTGCTGGTGAAAGTGTGTTTGGTAATTTACTTTTAAATGCTAGTGGTTACTGAGAAACCTCAAAAGATAAAGCCAGCACTTCAAGAGTTAATGTGTTATTAGGAGGACAGGAAATCTGGCAACTATTGCAGAAACTAGACCTAATGGTGCACACAAACAATTTGTCAGTCTTGGTAAATGTGAATAGCTTTCCGCAAAGTGGCTGCTTTTGCTTTGTTTGAACAGCCTAAACTTTTCCTTTTTGGACTTTAAATCTTAGAAGTGAAATGTGATCCACATATTGAATCAAAATAATTTAATTCAAAACATATTTTGATTGGAACAAGGTTGACATGGAAAGAAACTCTAGAATAAAAAAAAAAAAGTTGAAAGGACTTTCTATCATATATTTAGCAGGAAAATTTGAAACAGTTCTAATTAGGCTGAAAAAAACAGCCTTCTTCATTGTAACTTACAAAGGTCGTATATCAATGTTAAGGCAGCATTACCAACTTGTGTCTGAAAGCCTGCACATGCAAACATAATTCCAGTTGTTTGGTTTTGTTGGTTTGGTGTTTTTTTTTGTTTTTTTTTTTTTTTTTTTTTTTTTTTTTTGTTTTTTAACGTAGGTGCATGCACATGCTTCCAAGCCAGAATACGTACTTAGTTTAAAGTGGTGCTGCAGTTGTGCGGGTGCTTTGTCGTGTTCAAGAAGAGTATTTTTCACATCAAAATTGTGTTTGTGCTAAAGATGTAATTCATGCTTTTCCGTTCGTACAAAAATATTTTTCAAATGGAACGTAAAAAAGAGACTCAATTATTTTAAGTGTTTCAAAGGAAATTCCTTACTTCAAAGAGGAATTAAAATATTTAGTCCATTAAAGGCAATAGGCAGTTATTTGTACTTGAGATTTGTAATTGCTTACTTGCCGATGTAGTATATTCCTGGTTTGGTTTTGGCTTGTTTTGTTTTTTTTATTGAGTGAAGAAGAAAGATTATTCATGTACGAGAAGCAGTTTTGGTTTCTCGTCAAGGTTTCTACTTTCATTTTAACTATATGAAACACATTTTGTATAGGTTGGACTTCTTTTCTGTCTTTCAAATAAGAGTTACATACACGCTTTATGCTGTGCTTCAAGATTACTTTGCTTTAATCAGCATAGGAATAAGGCAAGCAAGTCTGTGGTCTATTTCTGAATAGCTTGATTATGAATAAATATCTATGCTGGTGGAAAGAAACACAGTTCATCTTTTCATCTAGTTTCAGCATTGGAACATCCCAATCTCAAGCATAGTATATATTCATTTTTAATAGGCATCATTTCATATGCTACATGTCATTACATAATCTAAACCAGACAGAAAAGTAGAGGGCAAAAGCCAATAGTAGTCACTTTAAAGATACAAATCTTGATTCCAAGGGTATAATATTGTTTGGGAAAATATATCATAATAAATGGTGAGAGTATTTACACTGGAAAAAGGAAGAATCTTTCCTAACCTGCTAGTTTTGTGTTTTTGTCATTCCAACCTTGTTTTACCAAATCATTTGTATCAGTATTAGACTGATATTAGTCTTCGGTTGCTAGCAGGAAATTATTCTCCGTTCATTCCTTTCAGAAAACAGGGCAGAAAAAGATGCACATAAAATAATGAATTTCAGATTCGTTCATGAAGTAGTTTTGATTGCACATATTTAGTGACATCAGATTGTGCATTTGAAAAATATTTATGAATAAACTAAAATTTCCTTGTAAGATCAAGGCTTCAATTTGATGTGTCTGAAGCGTTTCTACCTTGGGAATGGCGAAATGAAAGTTACTAATAGCTGTTTGTGTTTGACATCTGTATACTGTACTTTTTAGCATATCTCAAGTGTTTTAGCCTCTGCCTAATAGATCTCATTAAAGAAACAGATATCAGCCCCAAGACAGTTTGTCAAAGTTAATATGAGTCCCTGTGGACAGAATTGACAATTTGTGTGTGGCTTCACGTGACGGTCTTTTCATGGTCTTGTTTGATCCTTTAACAATTGGGCATTAGTCACTGATTTATTTTACAATAACTCAATAGGATTGAATATTACTGTATTATGCTGGACGTTTTAGAGGATTTTCTTGTTTTGCACGTTTTCCTCAGAGCGCAGAGTAAATGATGTACTTGGCCTGCTGTGGGAGTGCTAACAATTGATTGGTTTGCTTTAAGAGCAGCATGGGAAGGATGTTAGTATCCCATCGCTGCGTGCCGTATTTAACTTGAGCCTTAATGAGCACTGGTTGTCCTAGATGCTTAAGTAATCCTAAATGCTTAGCATTCTATACCCTTGGTTTAGTTGTGCAAGAGGTAAATGCTAACAGTAACATTTTAAAAAAAAAAACCCTCCCTTTTTTAAAACTGGATAGTTATGCAAATTGGAACTTTTTCACTTCTCAGATTTTTTTTTTTTTTTTTTTTTTTTGAGGAATAACAATACTTAAGTAGTATATACCAGTGTGGCTATAAACTGCATCACAAGTACTGGTACACTGTGTTGTTTTCCTTGAAAGTCTAATCGTTTTTAATCGTTATGCAGACTGTTAACTATTGTTCCTCCATCGGTTGTGTCATAGCGTAAGCACTTCCCTCCAACCAAGAGCTTAACGGTGAACCTGAAAAGACAGGCAAACTTATTTAGCCTTTGAATTTGTGTGCTGTGTTTGGTCTGTCCTTCAGGGTCCTGGGTATTGATGCCGACTGTAGTAATTTTTCATTTAGCCCTTTTATTTGTGATCTGGCAAATAAGAAAGAAGATTTAAAATAGCCTAACGTGGAAAAAAAATACAAGAAGATGATCTACTTTTGAATCTGTATAAATTACAAGTGTAAAATAATTTTGAACTTGAAATAGAGAAGTAAATTCAGGATGGCTCCCAACCATTCCACGAAAAAGCAAAGAGTGAGTCTTAGTTCTGCTTTTTTAAGAAAAATTCACATCTAGCTTTTGAAGTAAAGGAAAATACAAACAACCTGCATACACTAAATATATATATATATTTATTTATTTATTATATTATATATATATATGAATCACAAGTTCTTAACACTATTTTTGCTGACATTAAATAGTTATAATGATAACAGTAAGTATATTCTAGGGTTAAATTTTTTTTAGCAGGATAGCAAGAAAATTAATTCCTATCATTGTCATTTGCTGAGCCCTGTAGAATTTTATGGCTGCACATTGTAGTATTATGGACACTCATGAGACTCCTGACTGGTTTTATCTTATTAAACAATTTTGAAATCATTAATTTTTAATTGGCCTGCTTGTGGTTTTTTATAGTTTTAATTGCGTGTCTGTGTCTAAATGTTGGCGTTTTTTTTAATTTAAAAAAAAAAAAAAAGAAGAAAAAAGTAAGAAAGAAAAAACCCTGTCTAAGCATATGTGTTGTAAGATATTTCCATATGATCATCCAAAGAGATACTATACTGTGTGGTAATTCATTTTAAAGAATGCTTTCAGCAATTCAGTAGCTGGGAATCCTAATAAAAATAATAATAAAAAAAGAATGATATGATGTCGAAGATATGTACAGGTCTTTTCTTGATTGAAAGTTCTAATTAAGTGAATCGAGGAAAATTAACTGAAATTAGCTGTCAGAAAGTCACATTTAAATGAGTGATGATCTGGTGTGGCAGTAAACATTTAAATGATATAAATTGCCATTTAAGTGTATGGTTTAATGTTTGTCATGCATTAATATGACATGAGACTGCAGTGACAATCAAGCAGCTTGCTCTAATTTGAACATATTTAGGGCTTTTGTGTGGAGTGCACCACACAAATTAAGACAATTGCTGTTTTATGTGTCAATTTAAATGTTGTTTTCAGGCATCGGTTAATGAAACAAACCCATCATTTTTGTGTGCAAATTGCAGAGTGATTTCCTTGGTTTTCAGATTAATTTTAACTTCCTCTGCTCAAAATTAGGCATTTCCTTTACAAGGAAAATGCCATTTGTTTCGTTAGATGAAGAGAATATCAGACTTCGTTACGTTGTTTCATTTGCTCATTCAAATAAGAAATATATTGAATCCTCTGTATAAAATAAAGCAAATCCTGCTAGTGATTTAATCTATGTGAATTAACTCTTTAGATGACAATGATTTTTAAGTTACCTTTTAATATATTTGTGCTGCGTCCAGTACCATTATGAGAGTTTCATTACTGTTTGGATTCTTTTGTCCTGGGGATTAGGTTGTAACTGGATAACATCTTCAGAAAAGTGGCTTAATCATTCAACATAACACTGTTTCTGTATAGGTTGTATAAGACGTATATACCAGAAGTGCATAAAAGTAATAGCAAGTTGATATTCCAGCATGTTAAATAATTTGTACCCTAACATCCCTAGTTAGCTCAGTTTCCCCAGGTCTATCAATCTTCCCTCTGTCTGTCGGAATCGGATTATCATGCTGTTGTTATTCACTGTGCAGATCACACAGAAAAGCACAATTTCATCTTGAGAGTTCATAAAAACATAGCCCTGCTCTCCATAAATGCATAAATGCCTTCCACTTACTGCTTTTTTCCTTATTCCCACTATTATAGTTTAAAAAGCAAGGTCTTCTGGTCAGCGGGAAGTAGAGTAAGGCATGAGACTCTGGCATCTATCACAGGGCCCACCTTTTTTTTTGATAGAATGTCTAAAATGCTGTTATCAATTCTGTATTTAGACTTGTTAAGATAATTTTGTACACTATTAAAAAAATGCTTCTACTACTACTAAATAATGACTATCTGGCAAACTCAAGTTTATATATTTTGTGTGTGGTTTTTTCACAGGCATTAGAAAGTGAGTTTGTTTCCTGCCAGCTTCACCAGTGGATTGATCTGATTTTTGGCTACAAACAGCAAGGGCCAGAGGCTGTTAGGTCCCTGAATGTGTTCTACTATTTGACTTACGAAGGAGCTGTTAATTTAAGTTCAATAACGGATTCCGTATTGAGAGAGGTAAGTTTGTACTTTAAATATAGTAAAGGAAAATCTTTGTGAACGACTGCGGTGTTGAAACTGTAGAGATTCCACGTTGTTCAAGGCTACCGGCGAATGTTCAAATCTTTGCGTTCTCCTGTGGTTTGGCTACAGGCCAGTCAAATGCAAGGTGCCTGAACCAGTTGTCATAGCATGCAAAATTAAGAGAACAAGCATGCAAGTTGTTCTTAAACTTCGTGCACCTGGATTCAGCACAAACTGGATGCCAATATAAAAATAAATGTTCAAAGATTGCTTCAGCTGCTGAGGGAAGTCATTTTGTTCACAAATACTGGATCTTAATGGCAGAAGACAGTGAGCAACCTTGATTTGGCTTGCACTTTTGAATTTACTTTTACAGTTTTAAAAATTCTCTTTTAATGCAATCCTGCATATGTAGTACGCATCAAACACTATAGTTTTGTAGCTTCCATTATTTTTATTTGGCTTTCTATCAGATTAATAATTTGTCCTGTATTTTTGATACGCAAAAGTAAATATTTAAACATGGGAAAGATCAGTAGTCTCACTCAGACTCAGCACTATTCAGAAAAATCTATTTGCTGAAGTATCCCTTAGGATATTGTGGGCTTAAAGACTCCTCCCTCCTCCAGCTAAACAGCTGTTTAAAAAAAAAAAAAAAAAGGGTACGGTGTGGGCGGATGATTAAAACAGCTTTTTTGATAGGTTTTACGTCCTCTGTTCAGTCAATACATTGGTATCAAGTATAGCTGCAAGTATATTGATTATAGAATAAATGTAACTGGTACTTCGTTATAAAATGTTCTGAGTCCCTGAGAACAAAGTAATATGATTGCTATCAACAATTTTATTTAAAAGGGTGGCTAGATGTATACCAACAGGGAAAATACGTGTGAACTGAATGAAAAGAAGAATGAAGACATTTCTGCTTACAAATATTAGGTTTCACGTTCACTGCAGAATTCTAGGCTAATCGTAATCTAAGTTTTTGTTATTTATTGCTTATTGAAAGAAGGTCTGAGAAGTAAGCAATTACTATTTGAAATAATACTATTTTCTCTGTACGTACTGGCCATCTGACTGTTTGGGGCACCTTGACAGCCTCTGTAGAGAAAGTCACATCATAGTGACACTGTGGGTTGTAGCTGGCTTGTGGGTGCAATGGAAAGGTTTGGGGGGTATGCAAGGGTACGCGAGGACTGGCTTAAGTACCAAAAGTGATGGCTGGATGTCATCATTGCGTGGGTTGCCATCAGCCTGCAGACTGCATCGTGGTCCACTTTGAGCTAAAATATAGGTGTTGCACGTAAATACATTTAATTGAGCTGAGAAAAGAGATACTGGAACACTTGGCTTTTAAGAAAAAATGTCATCATCTAGGTTTGAAACCATTATTGACCCAAGGGTACAAAATGCTCACTCTGTCATGTTTTCATTTCATTGATAATGTTTGTCCACTGTACACTGACAAGGAAATATTCTTGCCTTGTAAGAGTTTTTATTAGGCTCTTGAAGTGCTACGTTTAAGTGTGAGCTGAAAAATAGACTGGGCATTGTGTGTAATTTGTTCTTAATTTTGGTATTAAATGAACTATCATTTAAGAAACTAATAATTGAAGTAGTACTAATCAAAGTAGCAGTCTGCCACACACAATTTTCGTGTAGTTTTTACTTTTTCTGGAACAGTTCTATTATCAGTTTAACTGGGATCTGTTCTACTTGTGTTGTAGCCTGAAAAAAAGTAATTTAAGACCAGGGAAGTTACAAATCTGTCTGGAAGTGTGGATTGTCCCAGTTAGAGAGGCATTCACTTGGTGCTTCTATAAATATATTAATATATTTGGTTACCAAATTTTTTGAATTTGTCATGTTTTTATTGTACTTCACTACAATGTTTTTTATTTTTGAGTTGTTCTATTCTGCCTGAACTGAGTGGCATATAAAAATGAAAACAGGAGAGGAAGAATAGTAGTGTTGTTGACTTCATAATAATGGAGTAGCTTAGCAGCAGCAGAATTTCAAAACACTACTGATGGAGTCAAAAATACATGCTGATGAATGCAGGCAGCAGAATGAATGGTATCTTGTAGCACTTTCACGCTGAGTTACTTGAAGATTGGTCCAATGGAATATTTTTATTTAGTATTTTTAAGCAGGTCAGTAAAACAGTAAAAAGACTCCTGTTTAGTTAGGTATACCTTGCTATTTATGTGTATTTTGTAAAGCGTATTTTTTTATTATGTAAATGTGTATATGTAATTTGAAATGGTACATGTGATCAGCTCTGATACGATATTGACAGTGCAGAGATTTAATGACTATCATCACCAATGGTGAGTTATTCTGATTTTACTTATGAGTAGAGATGAAAGTAATAAAAAAATCTGTTTCTGTGTATATCTATGTGCATAATCATTCTATATCTATGTGCTAAATGAATTTATCATGCACCTTTGACAGCTTCACCTTCTTCCTGCTTACTAATCCATCTCCCTGAGGACCTGCACTAACATTTTGTACTGCCGAGCAGCTTCAATCAGCATTTATTTTTCTTCTTCAGTCAGCTTGCCAGAAAGTAGTTCTTCTTTTCTCCACCAAATTCCTGGTTAGAGGCCAAATGAGTTTCTGATCTGGACAGTTAACAGTATTTTTAGGCAGGCACAACATCTCAGATTTAGTATCTGTTTATTAGGCAACTATTAAACCAGAAATTTTACTCTGCATTTCTTGGTTTCAAAAAGGATGCTTTTGGCTTTCTCCTCTCAATAAGGTTCAGTGTTTGGGTCTTTAAATCTTGACAGTTGTAGCAGAAAATACATTTTTATTTGCAAACCTAAAACAAAGGGAAGCTTCTGTATACTCCGAGAGTTGCAAGTTACTGAGGCTTTTGGGTATCATATGGAAATAATAGCATGTGCTTAAACCATGGCAATTTCTCCACATAGATAGTCTATGCTAAGCCTGGACCACATCAGGAATGAGAAGCCTATGATGCATGTGTTTCTGAAGTATCTTCACAGATACACGTATGGATATCGGTGACCTAACTCATCAGGAGGGGCCACACACAGAATAATAGTGGAAGGAACCGAGGAGTGGAGGAGTTTAGGTTAATGCAGAATTTCCTTAGGTCTTCTAAATGGCTCCAACTGGCACCTTTATTTTTATAGGCAGTCAGGTTATATATATTACAAGAAGGAAGCACTCGTCTAGGAAGGAAAACTACTTGATTAAAACCATATTCCACCTTTCTTTTTTTTTAAACTGAAAATGTAGAACTTTTACATCCTCTCATACTGCTGTGAACAATTTTTTCCTGCCATTCTTTCTGCCTATGGGAATAAAGGAAGTAAAGTATTTTGAAAGGATCTGACTGCTATAATAGAAAATTTTAAACTAAAATGCAAACCATGGGCCACATGCTACCTTTTGGCAGATAAACCCTGGGGAGTGCAAAGCTTGCATAATTCAAAGGCAAATCTCAGGGGGAGGGGAGTAGATCAAGAGAGAAGGGTTTGAGTCACAGCCAGTGGGGGAAGGGAACTGCAACCAGGAGGAGCAAGGCAAGAGATCCAGTATATCTGCTGGCATAGCTGTGAACTACTCGTCCTGCAGAGACCATTCCTTCCTCCTCTTCTTTTATCCTCGAGCCACTTTAGCAGCATTATCATTGACTGATCCTTGTACTTGTGTATCTTGCCGAAGGAGGTTACAACTGCGGAGGGAAGTTGCTGTTCAGTTGACAAGCAGTAAATATCACGTCTCTTTCCGGTGGAAAATGCGGTATTTGCCAGCAGAGGTATGCTATATGACTACCTTCTGTTGACTCATTCTTGAAGACCACGTTTTGATCTGTGGAACTCCCAATCACAAGATCTGCTGTGGAAGGGCTTTTTTGTTGCCTGTATGGAAGCGGCAAGGAGTCACAGTAGCACAGATAAATGTCATCCAGCCATTCTGGAGAGAATTCACAGCACCTTCTTATCACAAATTCTGCTCTCTTTTTGCAATAGCTGTCCAAGAAGGGGGGGGGGGGGGGGGAGTGTA